GGGGGGGGGTGGCTGATGTGTCATATCGTGGATAATGGCGATGATTTCCGTTTTGTTGACGGATTTGGGGGTTTTTGGGAATTTTATTTTTGGATACTTCGGAAAAATTCATTGACCGTGAGGAATGCCGCACAGCGCACACTTACGGAGGAGTGAGTCATGGTTTCTTTCGCGGGTAACACCGCTGAGGGCCATAAATATACGGAGTTTAAATGGCTCGGGGGGAATATTGTGATGAGAGTATTGGAAAATTGGGAGAGATCGGAGAGTTTGGGATTTATTTCTGGGTAATAACTGTACTCAATTATTTAAATAATGCAATTGTCCACCTGTTTCAAGTGCGAAAAGCCTCAAAAATATTAGTGCAAATATTATTACACCCATTTACACTCGTTAAAAACTTGAGATACAAATGAAGAAGACATTCACGAATAAGTGCATTTTTTTGCGCACGCAGTGCCGCCAAATCAACATTTTCTTCCCTCCGAAAATATCCCCTGGAAATGAATTAACGTAGTGTCTCCTTCCTCCGCATTTTGTCTTCTCTTCCTCGCATGCACGAAAATTGAGGTAAGTAAGCGTCTGTGCGAGGGGGCAGACACGGAGAGACGCCCCATGAATTACGTTCAAACCCCGCGTTTCGTATTTTCTCACACAAGTACGAAAGTCTAAATGAATGCCACTGCGTCGGTGGATTTCCCATTCACTTTTACCTCAAACTCCAAGCAAGATTCAATTATCAACCAATGAGACCACAGTAGGAAAATCGTGTTGACTCTGTAATAACAATTTACACATGTAAATTCTTACTCCCGGTTACTTTCTACCTCGAGAGAGAGAGACAGATTCTACTGGGAGTGGAGATCAGTAGGCGAGTAATATCGGAGGCGTCAAGTTTCTAAACAAAAAAAAGTCTCAGCAAAAAACTACATTTTTAAATCAATTGAAATCGAGATTTCAATTCGTTGGACTCTGCCCTTCGTCAGCGTCAGTGCGTCACTAACGAAATGGAAGAGAAAAAATGTATTTAATAGATGTGCATATCCGAGGTAAACCCTCATCCCTGGCTGTTTGCCAATCTCGCTCTCAAATAAACTCCCTCTCTCCTACCCGGGTCTTCCTCATCCCATCAGGCCTGTCATTGGTTGAAGCGAAACAGCGAAATTCCGGTTGCGCCAAGTACGCGTTGCGCCAAGTAGACGTGCGCTTCGCGGAGCGTATGCGACACATGAAACAATCAACCAACTGGTGTTCGATTATTTTTCAGAGTTATAAGTCGAGGGAATGCAAGGAGTTTTGAGGAAATTCGAGGGAATGCAAGGAATTTTGAGGAAATTCGAGGAAATGCAAGGAGTTTCTAGGAAATTCGAGGGAATGCAAGGAGTTTCTAGGAAATTTGAGGGAATGCAAGGAGTTTTGAGAAAATTCGAGGGAATGCAAGGAATTTTGAGGAAATTCGAGGGAATCCAAGGAATTATGAGGAAATTGGAGGAAATGCAAGGAGTTTCTAGGAAATTTGAGGGAATGCAAGGAGTTTTTAGGAAATTCGAGGGAATGCAAGGAGTTTTGAGAAAATTCGACGGAATGCAAGGAATTTTGAGGAAATTCGAGGAAATGCAAGGAGTTTCTAGGAAATTCGAGAGAATGCAAGGAGTTTTTAGGAAATTCGAGGGGATGCAAGGAGTTTTGAGAAAATTCGAGGGAATGGAAGGAGTTTTGAGAAAATTCGAGGGAATGCAAGGAGTTCCTAAGAAATTCGAGGGAATGTAAGGAATTTTGAGAAAATTCGAGGGGAATGCAAGGAATTTTTGAGGAAATTGAAGAGAACGCATGGAGTTTTCAGGAAATTCGAGGAAATTCAGGAGTTTCTAGAAAATTCGAGAAAATTCAAGGAATTTGTAGGAAATTCGAGAAAGAAGGAAAGACCATGGACGTATCCACGTACAATTACAGCTGTATCAAAGATACAGCCGCCTGCGATTTTTTGATATAGTTTGTGGGATTGAGAGAAAATGAGCTCCACCCATGTTTCCTAGGCCCCGTGATAGTGCCACGCGTGCACACGTTGGATGGCGATCGGAGGAGCTCGAATGAGTCGTACATAACTAAGAGAGAGAGAGAAAATAGAAAGAGCAAGGCGAGGAGAAAACATGAAATGCGTGTGGAGCTGTGGTGGGGCAATTCTTGGAATGTCCCGGAGTCTCGGGCGAACGACAGTTTGCCGGTGGCTCCTCCGGAACTCCGTGAGCCCCCGTTGGACTGGTTTTGCCTCTGGCATCTCGCCCTATCTCTCTCTCTCGTTGCTCTCTCGCTCGCTCTGGCCAGGTTGTTGGGCTCCCCCTGCCGATGTTAAACGATCAACGGTCGAGGCCTCCTCTCCACGCCATTTTGCTTTTTTTCAGCACTTTGCTCCACGCCTCGATGCCTCGTGTATTGCTATTGCTATTTCTCGAGATGCTGTTGTTATTCCGTCTCTTCACTATTTCAGTTCTTGTAGTTGGGTTTTTGCTCGATCTCGATTTCTCCGCTAGGCGATTTTTTGGGAGACATTTTTATTGGAGATTATTCATGATTTATGGGCCGGGGAGGAGGGGGGGGATTGACTGACCTGTGATGCCCGCCGAACCAGATTTTTGGCACGTTGACCAAGAATATTTTGAGAGATCTCTCCGGTGGATTCTTGAGTCTCGGTGACAGCGGTTTATTATTCTCACGGGTTTGAGGGAACGTCGAGTGTCATCGGGATGGCGTAAAAGACGAAAATAACTTGGGGTGATTGGTTGATGAGGCTTGGTGAAATATGGATTTCTGATGGATTTTCGGGTGGCGGGGGGAGAGCGGTGTCGAGGTGAGAATTCTGGAGAGAACGCCGGGATTTTTCAGGATTTTTAATTATGGAAGCGATGGGAGTGTTTCATGGCTGAAGGATTTTTCAATAATTCAGTTGCGGAGAGGTGAAGTTTAATTAACAATATCC